TTGAGTTGGAGTCTCACTCTGTTGCCCAGGCTGGAGGGCAGTGGGCGCTCCTGGCCACCGCAGCCTCAACCTGCTGGGCTCCTTCCGCCTCAGCCTCCCAAGTAGCTGGAACTAAGGCATGCACTACCACGCCCAGCTGATTTTTTGATTTATTATAGAGATGAGGTCTCGCCAAGTTGCCCAGGCGGGTCTCGAACCCTCGGGCTCAGACAATCCACTCACCTCAGCCTCCCAAGGCGCGGGATTACAGGCTGAGCCACCGAGCCTGGCTACATCCAGGATTTTAAACCTAAAATAATACAAATATAAAGGAATCTAATATTGATCTAATATTAATTAATGGTATATGTTTCTCTTTTAAAAATATGTATTTTCTACCTCTGCTGAAAAGACCTAGAAGTAAAAACAACCCAGTAGCAATGTAAACTCCAACCCCCATTTCCTACTAAAGGAATCAAGAATTCTTTGATTCTAAGTCTGAGGAGGGAAGTGCCCAAGATGAGTTCAAGGCATCTTGTCCATTCTGAAAGCAAGGACTTCACCATAAACGACCAGGTTCTGTCAAAACAATCCAAGGGTCAATGAAGAGGGGCTCCCATTTGCCAAAGATGAGAGAATTTGAGTGTCAATAAACAAGCAATGACTGCAATAGATTCAAGCAGAATGAATATGTGAAAATCTGTGAGTTCTTAATGGTACCAAAAAACCCAAAACAAATCAAACTTTGGAGGGCACCATTGCATTATCCTATCCATTAATAAATAGAAGAATCAAACACTTATCTTGCTTTTTGTGAAGATTCTATGTTGGAGTGAGAATTGTCAGGACAGAAAGTCCAAGCAGATATCAGACCAGGAAATAGAAGTGTTCTAAGCACTGAGGTCATGAGCAGAGGCTCTTGCACTGGATAAACCCAGGTTCGAATTTCTCCTACACCTTTAGCTAACCTCAGTGTTCCCATTTGTAAAAGTCTATGCCAAAGAATATCTATATCTGAGGTGAGAACTGATGAAATGGGATAAATAATCTGCTGACACAGCTTTGTAAATGGCTGCCATTATTACTGAGGGAGATGAATTGGGAAGACAGAACCTAAGGGTTGGGCAGTGACTCTAGAGGGAAAAGTGCTGAGAGGAAGAACAAACAAGCAGAGCCCCCAAACAAACAGAAATTCAAGAATGAGGACAAACATTGAAATGAAGTGAATGTTTTCCCATAGCTCAAGTGAAAAATGTTCCTTCCTTCCCTCCCCTCTTTCCTTCCTCTGTTTTTCTTTCTTTCTCTATTTCATCAACAAATCTTGAGTGCCTTCAAGTTCCATGATGTGTATAAATCTTGGAAAGACTGGAGGTCCCTGCCCTCTGTGGGAAGGTGCCATCTTGTGTGAGGAAAGATTCAACAGAGTCTCAATACAAGGAGATGGGCTCTATGGTGGGTGGGAAATGGGCTCCATGGGACGGAGAGCCTTCTGAGAGCAGGCAAGGGAGACTTCCTGGAGGAAAAACCTCCTTGTAAAATCCAGTTTTAGCAAGAACTCTGCTAAGTCAGTTTAGCAAGAATCCCCTATCTCTATGCCTGATGATCACCCTTTATATCAGATCAGGCCCCTCATCCTCTACCATCCCACAGGGGATGTCTGATCACCCAAGTCTGCCTTTAGCAAGAATTCTGTTAGGTGACTTTAGCCAAAAGTCCCCTTCTCTCTGATGTTTCCTCTTAGTAATTTTCTATCACTGACCCCGACACTGCTCCTTGGCTATCAAGTCCCACTTGCCCATGCAACCTCCCTTCCTCCCTGCAAGACCCTGTTACAGTGGCTCCTACATCTACTGCCATAGTCTCTCCCTTGAATAAAGTCTTCCTTATCATGCTTCAACAAGTGTAATTGAATAATTTTTCTCTAACACATTCCTAGGCCTCAGTGACTCTGCAGCCGGTGGCAGTCCCAGAGGGGACTGCCCCCAGCAAATTCAAAGGGTTCTCAGTTGAGGGAATGAATGGGATAAACTGAAACACAAAGAGGTGACTTCAAATCAGAGGAAGGGAGGAGGGCCAATGGGCA